GCAAGCAATTATATTGAAATGGAAGGAGTATCAGACCACTGCAAATCTACCAAGACCCGGCCGTCCCTCCAAACTGTCATCTCAAACAAGGAGACGACTGATCAGAGATGTAGTCAAGAGGCCCATGATCACTCTGGATGAACTGCAGATAAATACAGCTGAGGTGGGAGAGTCTGTCCATAGGACAACAATCAGTCGTGCACTGTACAAATCTGGTCTTTATGGAAGAGTGGCCATTTCTCAAAGATATCCATAAAAAGTCTTGTTTAAAGTTTGCCACAAGCCACCTGGGAGACACACCAAACATGTGGAAGAAGGTGCTCTGGTCAGATGAAACCAAAATCAAACTTTTTGGCCACAATGCAAAACGATATGTTTGGCGTAAAAGCAACACAGCTCATCACCCTGAACACACCATCCCCACTGTCAAACATGGTGGTGGCGGCATCATGGTTTGGGCCTGCTTTTCTTCAGCAGGGACAGGGAAGATGGCTAAAATGGATGGGAAGATGGATGGAGCCAAATACAGGACCATTCTGGAAGAAAACCTGTTGGAGTCTGCAAAAGACCTGAGACTGGGACGAAGATTTATCTTCCAACAGGACAATGATCCAAAACATAAAGCCAAATCTACAATGGAATGGTTCACAAATAGACGTATCCAGGTGTTAGAATGGCCAAGTCAAAGTCCAGACCTGAATCCAATCGAGAATCTGTGGAAAAAGCTGAAGACTGCTGTTCACAAACGCTCTCCATCCAACCTCACTGAGCTCGAGCTGTTTTGCAAGGAAGAATGGGCAAGAATTCCAGTCTCTCGATGTGCAAAACTGATAGAGACGTACCCCATGCGACTTGCAGCTGTAATTGCAGCAAAAGGTGGCGCTACAAAGTAGCCAGTAGCCAGTTTTTTATTTGTTTAAAAAGTTTAAATTATCCAATACATTTCGTTCCACTTCACGATTGTGTCCCACTTGTTGTTGATTCTTGGCAAAAAAATTTATTTATACTTCTTTATGTTTGAAGCCTGTAATGTGGCGAAATGTTGAAACGTTCAAGGGGGCCGGATACTTTCGCAAGGCACTCTAATAGTTTGAGCACAGATATGTAATCCTCCATTTGAAAATAAGTTATTTAAAAAGTAAAAACAAACCGGTGTCTCGCTAGCTGTCGTCAGCCGACTCTTGGGAGCATCCGATTTTCATACTAGGGCTGGGCGATATGCCTGCTCGTAACGGGCGGCGCCTCCTCGTTCTGTGATTGGAGAGCGAGCGTCACGCTCAAGTCTCTACTCGGCACTTTCTACGGCCTGAATTCAGGCTTCAAGTTTTAAAAGAATACGTGCGTGACCACGGGTCACTTGTTTCTTACCCTTCACCTTGACCATTATCATTGGAAGCATAACATTGGCCTAAGTGGCTTTTAAAATGTTCTCCCACTGTGAGCTGAGGCATTTACGACACACAGCTCTGTACAATATGAGAAACTATTTACGATCTGCAATTCCAAGGAAAAAAGTAAAGTTACATTGAAAGAATACAATGGCACAAATCACTTGGTAAATGGTAAAATATTAAATTTTTGCCTGCCTTGATTGCAAGTTGAGGCCCTGCCTCACCCTTGCATTTGGCTTTTTCCAAACATTTAGACAGCTTGTCCTTTTTAACTCTCATTTTACATTGAAAACAAGCCTGTGACTTCAGTTATTGTCTCTGCAGGATAATGTGTCCACTGCATTTGACCCATCTTTCATTGTTTCAGGGGCATCTGTCAGGAGCAGTGGTTGACATAGTAACAGGGGCCCATCTCCAGATGTTGTTTGTTCTTGATCCGCCCAGAGCAAACAAACCCAGGGAGGTTGAGTGAAGAGATTGCAAGAGTGCTGCACTGAATCAAAAAGTAAAAACACTTACAGATGCTCATCCAACTCGTGGGATTGAGAAAACTGTTGCAATGAAAGAAATGGAGAAGGAGGCACTCTGAAAACTATGTTCTTTTTAATTAAAGTAGAACCGACGCGTTTGTCAGGGCAGAGAAACCCAAGGAGGTCTTCAAACTTGCTGAGAACTGAGTGTTAACCACTCAGCCACTTCTCTCAACTAAGTGATTCAGTATCAGTGCTGAAGTAGGGCTTTCGCAGTAATCTGTCTCTTTAAGCTGTAACCGCAGCCGTGAGTGAGGACTAAAATGTTTTATACCAAACAGTGACATTTCAATAACATCCATCACAAGAAAAACATGTTTTGGATCAGTTCCAAAAGTAGGTCACGACCAGTCTGAGGTTGAGGATTTCACCTTTTTATGTCTGAATCTGTTCCCATGAGAATAGGAGCAATGTCCGATGGTCCGTTCATTCATGTGTAAGGTTTGTTCAGTGAATCATGGTTGTGTGACGGGAGGCTTTTTGTTCAGCGTCTCCAGCTCTATCTCCGGTCAGAGTGAACATGCTGAATGCTGCATGAGTCACGGTGGCCTGGTTTGGTAATAGCACTGTGTCCTGGAAGTGGGCTTAAAGAGAGTCAGCTTTATGTAATGTGTGTTTGAGGTCTGTGTGTCGGGTACTTCCGGACTGCAGACTCTTGCATCATGGAAAAAGGATGATCCGATGGATGACATCAAACGGATATTAAGTCTTTTATTGATATTTGAGCCTTTTTGACATTTCCAAACCAGAGAGTTCTGACCGAAAGTCCCTCTGGTCCTTTCCGATTTAAACTGAAGCTCTCTGAACCCTGCTTTCTGCTGGGGAATGTTACCACCCAACCACAGCAAGAATTGATACACAAACAGCAAAGTTGTCCTTGTTAAAACATGTTGAAGTATCTTAAAGTAACACAGTACAATGGTTGCAATACAATGTGTGCCAATACTTAACTTGTTATCTAGTTTGACATTTATGGATATTGGTCATCTGCCCAATCATTGCATTTCTTGTTTGAACTGTTTTCACAAGATACAACAGGAAAGTAAACCATACTGGGTGTACGGTGGAGAAAGAGGCTCTAACCCTCCGGAGGCAGACAGACACATGGTGCTCTAGTAACAAACAAGCTCTCGCAAGATGCTACTGTTCCTCTACTTTGTAAGACGGCCACTTTAGTGAACCAGTCTTGTCCAGGGGCCGACAACATGATGGTAAAAATATCTGAGCCGTTCTGAGCTTTACAATGGGTCCGACATGGATTCACACCACAGCAACATCAGTGACATATCATTTTGTGACACAATCAAAACAAAGAAATAAGTTTTTACAAATAAAATCACAAATTGAATCTTTTATTGGATCCCAGAGGTTCTGAGCTTCACAATTAGGGGCATTATGACGGTTCTGGTGTAGCTGAAGTTGGCTGGATGACACTGAAACTATCTCAAAGGCTAATTTGAGTTAACAAGCTAGAGGGCCCCTGTAACATCTGCGCTCGTATCCCTCGTGAGCTGGAGCGAGAGTACAGGAAAGAGGAGCTGCTGAATTCTCCAAATCTACCACTGGATAGTGGCGTTTTCTTTATCATGCTGATCATTTTGAATACACTGTAAAAAGACTGAATAGTATGTGTCAATTCCTGAAGCTTAATATTTGAATTATTCCTATTTTTCCCCTATGCATACATATTATCAAACCAATGTTGTATGACTCACTGTCTTGAAATCGAGTCAATTTTGTCAGAACTACCAGCAGCAGAACCAAAGAGCATTAATCACAGCTTACCTGTGATTAAATTCCATTCTGCTGCGCGACAATAACCCCCCGAGCGAGGAGAGATCTTTGTTCTCTTGACAGGCAGCTGTGGAGCCAAATGAGTGTAAAGTGGGTCTCGTGTTCTCAAACTATTACGGCTGAAAAAACACATCTTCCCCTAAATATGGCAGCGTTCGGCCGCTCCACGCCATCAGGGCATTTTGGAGAACGATAAGTGCTAGTTTCAGCTCGTCTTTTGCAGTGAGTGGGTTATTATCCAAGATTATCTGCCCAAGATGGAACAAACTTGCTTGTGGAAGGTGTTCAGGTAAAAGGTTTCTATAATCTTTGAGAGTTTAGGAGGCTGTTCAATCTCATGCACTTGACTTTTCAAAACTTTTGGACCATGTTTTTCTTCCACCCAAGATTGTGGCTTTAAAGACGCACTCTGGTCAATTTTGTTTTTCTGAATTTGTTACACACAGAAGATTCCACCGCGTTAGAAAAAAATAAAATGAAAAATGATTCTTAGCGTAATATCTGCTGATCTCAAACCTGATCTGAGCGGGAAGTTTGATGCAACTAGTCTATGCTGATGTAGGTTCAAAGTAATCAATAACTATGAACCTTTCTCACATGCACTTGAGGAAGCTTAAATGTTTTAATGATTGGGTCAATGCAGGCTACTTGGTCTATTTCTTTCCATCCTTTTGAGATTATTGTGTTTAAACTCGCCATCTCTGAAGTAGTGACGTAGCTCGTGACCGCAGATATTTTTCTTTGTTTGCACCTGTCACCCACATGACAACGCATCATAAACAAATACATAAAAAAACCTCCGGGAAAAGTTGAGATTTTTGAAAACTTCGTTTATGCATCTGTGTGTAGACCGAGATAACCGGAGTTTTGCGTTTTCCCACGTCGTAGTGTGTACCAAAAACGACAAACAAAACATGCGACCTCGGATCACTGAGGAAGACCAATCATTGTATGTAAACTGTATGATGCCTGTATTCACCGTTATTGTCTGCAGCTGAAAGTGATCACATGGAAAAGGGGGTAGGCCCTAATAAGTTTTCTTGCTTCAGTCTACTCCTTTTGAGCTACTTTGTAACTGTGTAATCTTGTAATAATGCAAAATATGTATGTAAAATGCTCAAATAAATAAATAATCAATCAATCAGAAAGGAAGGGGGAGGGAGCTTGGCTCGTTTTTTTTTTTTCCAAATCGTGTACCTCTTTGTTCTGACAAAGTCCTGACTATCACTTTAACGCCATGAAAACACGTTGTTGATTGGGTTCTTGTGTTTTGTGTTGTGTGCAGGAGGTGGAGGCTGAGAACCGGCGGAACACCCGCAACAGAACCCCAGCGAAGCAGCCTCCTCTCAAAGAGGAGGTGAGACAGAAGCACAGTTCACAAACTCCGGTCCTGCTCTGTCACTTTCACTGGGCATTGTTACTGAACCTCTGTTTGGAAACCGTATGGAAGCAGTGAGGAATGTTGAGTCAAAAGTGATCTAGAGTTGTGAAAGCCACACTGCGGAGGATTACGGTAAAGACGCGTTCAGACCGGACTTAACTTCGACTTCAAAAGCGTCAGGTTTGCATTGAAAGTGAATGGTGAAGCGCGTCAGGTGAAGCAGAGAGCCCCGGCGTCACTTGGCGCGCGTCAAAAGCTTCAAAAGTCGCGAGTAATATGCGCTCACTTGAAGCTTTTGACGCGCGTAACGCTCGCGTATCAAAACAATCCCTTAACGCCAAAGTTTAGCAAAGCTGAGCTTTTGAAGCTTTGACGTGAGCTTCAACCAATCAGGAGACGAGGAGCAGCAGCAGCAGCGGGTCTGTCTCTGTCATGGAGAGAAGTCATGTAACTACTGCTGCTGCTGTTTTATTGTCATTATTGTTATTAGTAATATTATTGTATGAGTAGTAATAAGTAATATTAGTAACAAAATCATTGTACACATGCTGTGAACGTAAACGTAATTTATTTAATATAAGAACAAGCTGACGATGATTCTGGCTCAGAGCGAGGCAGCTCCAGTCTGGCAGAGGGGAGCGATAAGCGGGGAGAGGGGTGCGAGAGCCGGGGAGAGGCGAGAGCCAGGCAGCTCCAGGCGGGCAGAGGGAAGCAGAGGCAGGGAGGAGGCGAGCTCCGGGGTTTGGGAACTCAAACTGGGTGAGTGAAAGCGAAACTCCTTCGTACGCTGCTCCTGGAGTAAATGACGAAACTCTGCAAACACTGCAGCCTCTCAAGTCTGTGGTGAACCCGGAACATGTTTTGTAGAAACCAGACCACAACGTTATTTTGCTTTATATAACAAATAAAGGCTGGCTGCTCTCTGGAAAATGTACCGTTGTCTTGCAACAGAGAAGCTCCTCCCGCCGGCGTCACTCGCGTCAAAAACTTCAAGAACCAAAATGACAAAAATAACCCGGCGTCAGTTGAAGCGCGTCAAAAGCTTTTTGAGTATAGACAGGCAAGATGTTTTTTGATCTTTATTTGTATGGCTTCTCATCAATTTCCATGTTTATAAACAGGAAGTTTACATCAGTCTGTCTGCGGGTCTGTCCCAAGCCCCGGGGATCCAAGATGACGCCCTTTTCAAATCAATGGCTTGTGCTCAGTAGCGCATGGAACATACATGGGAACCGAAAGATTAGCGGAGGGGCACGGTCGAGTTCTGACTAATCAGAGCTGCTGATCAGAGTGAAGCTAGAGTGGGAACAAAACGTGCAGAGTTTGTTGCATAAAGTCTTATCAAAGTGCGGATTTATAGAAAACTGAAGGATATAACAAGAATAAAAGTTCAGGATGACAAGGGACACAATCAACAATATTACTTTCACTTTCAACATCATAAATCTAATTCAACATCTTTATTACTTTTAGTATTTTGACAATAAACTCTGGTTTTACACATGACCTTTGCCTTTAGCCGACAAATGATCAGAGCAGATCTGTGTAATAAAAGATTATTTTAGGATTCTAAAATCATCTGAAATCCTAGCTGACTATTTTCAAAAAGTATATTAAATACACAACGCTTTGACTCGAGGCATTGCTGAGAAACTCGTTTCTCAGCATCGCCATAAATCACAACAGCAGTCGACTCAGACGAAGGTTGTTAATTTGCCAACAGCAGATCAGAGAATCAAAAAGTTCGAACACAGGAACAGCAATAATTACTCCATGTCCATAGATGTTACTAAATGTCCTTAACCCTCTGATGTTCACTCATTGAATAAAATTTAAAAGAAAATATTTATTTCAAAGAAGTAGGACTAATAACATTGTATTTTATGGGTTTTTTATAGAGATGTGATAGAGATCCCCCAATGAGATAGATTTTAGTTGAGGTAAATTTCAAGTAGATATAGTGACTCAAAAAGAAATCCACCAAATGGTTGAGGAGACCATTAAAGGGTTAAATATCCCGGACCAGTCATAAGGCCAGTGGGGAAAAAAATGAGTTGTGTTGTGCCACTTCAAAACAATAACTTGTGCAATTCAAGGGGAAAAGTGAAACTCATACTGTGGAAATGTACAGCCGCCTAAATCATGTCTCCAGGGAAACGAAACCAGCATGAGTCCGGTTTGTGGAGATGCAAGCACCCACACATTAAAAGTAACATTTGCATCCACCAATGCGCTTACGAGCTGCTGATCTTCTCCCACATGGACCTGTGTACAAACAAGCGTGTGTGTGTGTGTGTGTGCGCGTGTGTTACAGAAGGCCAGCCCGTACGGTCGCCATGACTCCCAGAGCAGTGTGCGGGGTAAGAAGGAGGGCACACTGCACAAGATCGGGGACTTCCTCCAGAGCTCGCCGACCCTGCTGGGCTCCAAAGGTCAGTCACATTTGTCAGTTTTAACATCCATGGATGTTGTCTACAAAGGTGAAAGAAGGCAGACTTCAAGAGTAAAGGGCTCCGAATCTTTTCATTTCAAACACATTTAGAATAGTTGAACAGTCGGTGTGATATCCTAAAAGTTACAGTAAAATGATAATAATGCATAGATTTGATAGTGCTCAAAGACTTCACAGCATTATTCCTTCACTCCAAAGTGGAGATTAATACTGGAGCCACAGCTGCCCTGGGAAACACTGACAGAAGCGAGGCAATCAGTCTGTGCCATCGGCCCTGTTAAGTCGAGATAAACTCCGCTTGTAGTTCTTTGCATTTGTTTTGTAACAACCATAGTGACGTCACGTCACCAACGTAAGCTCCGCAGCGCGTGACTGTACAGTAGGCTTAATGTGGGGGAAGTGTCTTGCCTAAGGACTCAACCACAGTTTGGCATTTTACAGCTGGTGCCCCACTGTGGAACCTGGTGTTCCCAGAGGTCTCTCATAGCAGTTCTAACCAGGCCCTGATCTGCTTAGCTTCACCTGCAGGGGGCGCCACATAATATCAAAAATGTCTTGTAAAGAGTTGAATTGTAGCTAACATCAGATCTATTCCCTCTTTTCCTTCTGCTGTTTGACCCGTTATAGAGCGATAGAAACCTTTTAGTAAAATTAATCTTTTATCTCATTACTGTCACTGTGAGGCTCATGTTGCCAATAGTGTTGCTAATGTTTTCTCTGGTGCTAATGTTGACTATGGCCCCTCCCTCCGAGCTTAGAGGTCACCCACGGCTGCACTGATGCTCCCTGGGACGTGTCTGACCCTCTCACTGCTCTGTCCAATCAGCTTTAAGACCATCACCCTGTTCACATTACGATACTTTTACATAACGTCGGCTTGAACTTTTTAAACCTGGCCCTTGGGGAAGATCTGTCTGTAGTGCAGCTGACCGTTCGCCAAAGAAACCCCGACAATATCAAGTGATGCTGTCTCCACCTGGAAAGTGCATGAGGAGAATCAGGAGCAAGTTCTGGCCCATTGTCAAACACGCTCAGGGTCCAGGGGATTAACGGGGTTTAGAGCTTTCATGCTGAAAATGAAATCCTGTCAGTGGGCTGCATCAGGACGAGGCAACTCCGAGGTTAGAGTTTAGTCTGTTCTGCCTCTTAAGACTGTCCTTATGAGATCATGACCACTGTGTCATCCAGCCAACTCCAGCTCAGTCAACATGCACATGGTATACATTGGTGTAAAGATCAGAACCCCTGGGACTCAGTTGTTCATTTTATTTATTTGTTTAATGAGCTGATGTCGTTTGGCGCCTGTGGCTCAGTTGGTAGACCATTTGTCTTTGGACCTAATGGTCGTGGGTTCGATCCCACCACAATCAATGTAATTTGCTCCCACTGGTGTGTGCTATTGTTGTGTCCCTGGGCAAGACGCTTGACCCCACATTTCCTGAAGTCCCTGCTAAAAGATCAAGGCCGTTGAAGGAGCAGCCATCTTCCTTTGGAGCCACCACCTGCAGGAGTATCAGCGAGAGACTGGTGCTTTGTGAATTGGGTGCAGCTATGATTGCCACCCCCCTGAAGCCCTAAAGCACAACAGTAATCAGGACCTTACAAAGCTGTCAACACAGAACCGAGTTTACACACAAGAAATGCAATGATAAAAACACCTCCACCCGTAGCCATTGGTCCATAAGGGGCAGATTATGTCCATAAATGTTGATATCATTACCACTGTCTTTAGACCCTCTTACATCGGCAAAGAAACTCTTAAAAAAACAAAAAAAAAACAATGGGTGAAAATGAGAAACTTTTGGGAGGCCCACAATGATCCACTGCCACGGACAGACGGGCTGTAGATCCAGGACTGCAGCAGAACGTCAAATGTGGCGCAGAGGTGTTTTTGATAAAAGTACTGATGTATTCAGCTGTGAGCTCCTCATTCAGCAGTCTGACACACGCAGATGTAGAAACCAGGTCGTAATGAAAGCGCCGTCCACCGCTCAGGCTAACCCGCGCTAATGATGCAATCTCTGACCGTTTGGCTAATGCTAACGCTAACACGCTCAGTCTTCTATTATGATCAAACGGGAGACGATGTTTTCACGCGCTAATGACGCGTTTCATCACTGGACGATCTCAGAAGGTTCTCGCTGCAGCACGGAACGCAGAAACCAGTTGAAAGAGCTGGGGGGAGGGGGACACGAGGGGCTACAATGTGGGGACCGGAGGGGTTTGTTTCGTGTAGTAATTAAGACCTTTAGGTGAACTAACTGCATGTTCATGTTACACACTGCCATCTGTGATGTGCTGGATCTGATCATGGGATAATTCTGTTCTATGAAAATGAGACTTGAGTCAGACTTTGAGTGAGAGATGTCAGCCTTATATATTTAATCTGAGCTCAGAAAAGAAACAAAAAGAAAGTTTTGAAAATGGGCTGAGCAGCAATCGTTAACGTAACTTTGTAATGAGTCTAATAAGGCAAGTTTATTTATATACATGAATAGTCACACTAGATTAAAGAGAGTGAAGATCTAATCCTTCAGTTGTTTTCGCGAAACAACTTATTTTTAACCTGGATTTGAACATTATCAGAGAAGATGCCTGTTTCACATTTAAAGAAAGACTCTTGTAGATTTTGGCTGCATAAATCTGAAACGCTGCCTTCCTTTGCTTAGTCCTGACTTTGGGACCAGCAGGAGGCCAGTCCCTGTGCTCCTCAGAGTTGGTTCCTAGGACTCTAACATGTCACAGATGTACTTTAGCCGTGGAGACTTGTGTCTGAGCAGACTGAGATCATGGATGTTTTGTGTTAAAATCACAATTCAGTTTATCTTTGTACACAACAGTCTGCGGTTCTCTAATGTTCCATCCATTTGAAAAAGATGGCTCAGAGAGGGAGAGGAAAAGAACAGAGGTCGTCTGTGACTGCTCTGGTCACCAAACTGATGCACTGAAGTCAAATGACAATAACATGTTTGAATCTTTAAAGGCACACCGCGGACTTTGTGACCTAAAGAGTTGACACATGAGTTATTTTATATGAATACTTGGGCCAATATACAGCGCTTGACACTTGCAATGCTCCGAGCGGGGCTGCCCTCTTGAAATACCGCCCATGTAAGTTTCGAGCAGACGGACCGTCTGCCACCAGGTCACGTGACTTGGAAAAAAGACTTGCTTTACGGCTACAGGCGCTGATATACTCATGGAGCTAAGGCTTTTGCTACTCATTTTTCACCTGCTCGACTCCTGGTCATGGCTGAGGCAAGGAAAAATTTTAAACCTTCGGAGGAGGCTAAAAAGAGGAAACGCGAAAGGGATCGTGCTGTAAGCTGCATGTCTGTATGAGCGCTGCTCTTCACCTGGTTCCTGGATGTCATCGACTGCAAAGATGTCATTCCACGCAGCACGAGCTAGACGCAGAACTCCCTCATCCAGGATATAGAAGTCCATGTGTGGTAGATTACTAATGCAGCGGTCTGGAGGCTGACCACAGCAGAGTCTCTCAATATCTGTAGGCATGTCTCTACAGTTTGAACACACACACCAGTGCATGCTGTCTGAATACACACTCAAAAGACACCGGCTGACTGTTTGTTGACTTTTGCGACAGTGCTGAGTTGCTTGTGGCCACTAGGGGCGCTAAACGTGAAAGTTGCAGGTCTAGCGCCCCTAGTGGCCAAGAGTTACACGGTGTGCCTTTAATCCCATAGGTTTGGTTGTATGTTGTAGGACATTTTTCTTTTTTCTAAAACGAGTCCCAAAAATATTGGTCAAACTGAACTCTGATGAACTCTGATCCTGTTTTGTCTCCAGCCAAGAAGATGATGGGGCTGGTGAGTGGGCGGGACCTGGACCCCTCTGGCTCCTCCCCCTCGTCTCTCAGAGCCAAGAACAAGAGGAAACCGTACAGACCAGAGATCTCCGCACCGATGGACATGCCCCCCCACCCGGTCAGTAGCAGCAGCATTAGCCATGCCCAGAGTCCTCCAGGAAAATGTTGTTTTACTACAGTGTAAGCCTGGTCGTACCACACCATAGTACAAATTACATTTCCTACTAAGGTCTAGATTTGCTCAATTGAGCTCCGTTAACAGGTGGGAGGGGTTAACTCCTTTTATAGATTGAAACGATTAGATCTGAGTTTACCGCGACATACAGAACAGACCAAAAGTTTGGACACACGTTCTCATTCAATGAGTGTCCTTTCTTTTCATGACTATTGCTGTAGATCCACACCAGGCTGTGTAAGGGCTGTTTGTCCAATAAGGAGAGTGATGGTGCTGGGCCAGATGACCTCCACAGTCACCAGACCTGAACCCAATCCAGATGGTTTTGGGGCTGGACCACAGAGTGAAGGCGAAAGGGCCAAAAAGTGCTAAGCATCATGGGAACTCCTTCAAGATTATTGAAAACCATTTCAGGTCACTGCCTCTTGAAGCTCATCAAGAGAATGCCAAGATTGAAGCAGTAATCAGAGCAAAATGTGCTACTTTGAAGAACCCAGAAGATGAGACATATTTTCAGTTTCATACTTTTTTTTTTTTAGTATGTACATAATTCCACATGAGGTAATTCATAGTTTTGAGGCCTTTCAGTGTGAAACTACAATTTTCATAAACATGAAAATAAAAAAGTCTTTGAATGAGAAGCTGTGTCCAAACTTTTGCTCTGTACTGTATGTAATTTGTCCGAGTGAGTCGGTCGCATTTAGCCTAGCTTTAGCATCATCTTTGCCGCTAACGGAGCCCGTGGGGAGTAGCGCCACAATCTTTGCCAGCGATTACATTTGCTAAACATTCCTCTTGCTCCGGCTTCAATTTCTTTATAGAACCAGATCAGAATACTATATTATCGCATTCTTCGCCATTACCAAATTACCGCCAGCCAATTCGGCACAAACTCTTAACGTCACCCACTTCTAACTACATTGGTCAGATGGGATTCAACTGATGCAATTGCAGACACAGGGACTAGACCCAGACGGTAAATGCAGGGAAAGGATTGACTAGAGTTAAAAGATGGCTAAGGCCAGGCTACTACATTTGTGTGTCTTCATTTTGTTAGGTGTTCCCTGGGAACATCATTGGTCAAAATAATGTGTACAATTTGAATGTGAGATTGAGATAAGGGTTTCCTTTTTGTAGCCATGGCACACCTATTTTTTTTTTTTAAAAACACTTGCATGGCACACCACCAGCTGAAACTTACAAACATGAAAGTAAACAAGTATTAAATCAAAGTCATATATAGAAATCAAAAAAAGAACAAACAATCTTTCTATACATATATTTTCTTTTTACCTTATTTTGGCCAATTATATGTGAAATTGTAATCCTCTCTCTTCTTTCAGATCCTCAGCAGGGACCCGGAAGAGGGCGACCCACAGATGAAGCGCTGCCTCCGCTCCCGAGTGAAGTGATCTGGACTCTCTCCCTCCCTCCCTCCCTCTCTCTGTCTCTCTCTCGCCCTCCCTCCCTCTCTCTGTCTCTCTCTCGCCCTCCCTCCCTCTCTCTGTCTCTCTCTCGCCCTCCCTCCCTCTCTCTCTCTCTCTCTCGCCCTCCCTCCCTCTCTCTCTCTCTCTCTCTCTATCTCTTCTGTCTGTATCTTAGTTAACCCTTTTGTTTAAAAAAAGAACTGTGTACTGTTTGTGTCACTCTTAAATTATGAGTCTTTTTCTTTTTATCCTGTGTTTTACTTACGTGCAATCTTTAGGAAAGCAGTTGTGTGTGTTTGTTTGTGTGTGTCTTTTAGCAGAGTAAGCTTTTTAAGCTTTAAGCTTTATTTATAGCAGAGTGAGTACAGAGTGATTTAAATTCGCTCTGTAGACGTTAGAACCATGTTTTCTGCACACGACACCAGAGCGACTGAACAATGAGACGTTCTCCACATGAAGGATGCTGTAGATGTCACTACACATTAAACCTATTCAAACCTCTGCTCTGTTTGTGCGTTTGTCTGTCAAAGCGTCACCGAGCCCCGGCAATCCAAGATGGCGTCGTATTCAAAGGAATGGTTTGTCATTTGCCGGTATGGGCGGAACTCTGTATTTGGGCATTGTCTGGTCCTCCCGGTTCTGCGCAGTGGACGAGCTCCCATGATGTTTTGCGCCAAATACTCGTGTGTGGCTCTCATGCATGGGCTCGGCTGCGCTCTGACCAATCAGAGCTGCTGATCAGAGCGGAGCTAGAGCTTGACTTAGACCACGTGCTAATCGAGCAGAGTTTGTGGCAATAAAGTGTGAATTTAAAGAAAATCGAATCATTTAAGAAGAAAAAAGTTCAGGATGACAAGGGACACTAAAATCCCCACAAAATCCGACCTTTATGAAAGCTGTAGGTTCTCTGTCAGCCGAGGTCGAGCTGTTTTAGTTTACATTGAGTTCTATGGGGAAAATTTCTGGGAAACCCACATGAATTATCCATCCATCCATCCATTTTCTTCCCCTTAATCCATTTCTGGGTTGGGGGGGTGGCAGTCAAAGCTGCACCCAGTTCACAGAGCACCAGCCCCTCACTGATCCTCCTGCAGGTGGTGAGTCCACAGGAGCTGAGATCTTTCAATGGGGGGCTTCGGGCAAAGTGGGGTTAAGTGTCTTGCCCAAGGACACAACGACAGCAGTCATCAGTGGGAGTCGTGAAGTAGGTCTTATGGTGGGTTTGAACCCACGACCTTCAGGCTCAAAGGCCAATGCTCTACCAACTGAGCTACTGTTGGTAGGCTTAATCACATGAATTAAGCCTTGTGTAATCTGCAGTACCGCGAGAATCCCCCGAGCACTTGGTCAGCACCTATTCATGCCTAAACTTAACCAGCCATTCCCATAAAATAACCCCAACCCACCCTTAACCCTAACCTTAACCATCTTACTCAGACGTCTAAAACTTAACCAGTCACCATTTAAGGACATTTTAGTCTAAAACTAATTCGAAAGTAGGATTGTTACTTCCGTTTTTGTCCTGATTCCGTATATGATCTAGTGCTGACCCTGAGCACATGTGTTCTTCAGCTCCAAGCTAGTAATATCCAGTTATTATAATAGATCCATGGGCTTCACTCACAACCATCATTATTATTAATTGGTTAAAAAAAAGAATTAGAGATAAGATATTCTCTTTGATTGGTCCTCAGTCTATGTTTTGAACTCTCTGGTCAGGTCGGCTCTCAAATATTTGATCGAAACATTTAGAACGGGGTCTCCAACCTGTAGCTCGGAACCACCAGTAGCTCGCCACCCCCTGCCAGGTAGCTCGCCAAAGGTTTTAGAAATAAACAAATCAAAGAACATATTTGTAAATGCACTGACTTCGTCACTAGTAACACATATGACAAAAATGCCTGTACTTAATATCATTTGTTCACAACAATGTATAGCCATTTTTATCCCCAGGGCCACTTAAAGGAGTAGCTCTGCCTTTATCAAACTGGGAAAGTAGCTTTCTAAGTGAAAAAGGTTGCAGAATCCTCATCTAGAATGACCAGAGCAACAGCGCCTCCTCCAGAGAAGTTCAATGTGTTTGTAGAGTCGTCTGAGACGACTGCTGTTTTAACGATACACAAAGTTGTGGATTTACCAACACCAGATCAGAGAATCAAATTGTTGTTTAGATATGTAAGGAAACAAGTGCCCTTAGTGTGCTCTGAACCATGAACCCAGGTACAGCAATATTCTGGGAAAGAAAGAAAAAAATATTGTATGGAATGGCTGACGAGAAGCTAGTGGGGCCGTTTCAGGACAGGGGTGATGTGGTTGGTAGAGGGAAAGGGTGTGATGTCTGCAGCAGTTTTGGACCATTTGGAGTTTTTTTTTTTTTTTTTTTTTTTTTTTTAGAGAAACCAAACAGAAGAGAATTGCAGTAATCCTGACGGGAAGTGACGAGACTTTGAACCAGGAGTGAGGGAGGGGCGGAGGTGAAAGAGTGACGCTAATGTGGGAGCAGGAGAGGGTTCTATTAATGATGTTCCGATGATGCCCCGAGAAACATCAGCACTTACATGTTGTATTGTCTGACATCAGAGTTGCAGATGAATCCTCTTTCAGCTCAATCAGCACAACTGCATTACAGTGCAAGTAACGTGCAATTATTAATAGTAATAAAAAAAATCTATCAACGAGGGCCTGATGGACTGAGCTGAATCCCGGAGCTCGGTACAATATGGTCTTTTCAAACATATGCCTGTAAAAAGCCGCCACTAGCCGATGCGGCGGATGTGACCTTTGAAGGAATAGTTCACCGTTTTTACATACTGACACATGTTCTTACCTTACCTTAGACTAGTTAATACGTACCTGTCTGGTCTTAGTCCGTGCGCTCTGTCATGCAAACGGAGCAAAAACGGGAGCACAAACGCAGCCTCCTCTGTATACTGTGTAGGACCAAAAGGTAGCTCCCGCTAGAAGCTACCAAACTCTTCCAAGTGTTCCCTATTAAATGTATATAGTTACGTGACGTGTTACACTGCAAAGTATAGTAACACAGAAATGTAACACGTCACGTAACTATATACATTTAATAGGGAACACTTGGAAGAGTTTGGTAGCTTCTAGCGGGAGCTACCTTTTGGTCCTACACAGTGACCAGAGGAGGCTGCGGTTGTGCTCCCGTTTTTGCTCCGTTTGCATGACAGAGCGCACGGACTAAGACCAGACAGGTACGTATTAACTAGTCTAAGGTAAGGTAAGAACATATGTCAGTATGTAAAAACGGTGAACTATTCCTTTAAGTGGAAGCTTTCACCTGTTTTAATGACTGCCCCAAAGAAGTTGTCACTTTCACAAAGTGGAGTGGCTTCTGCTCTGGGCCAGCGCTCTTTGCTTTCACCTGTACATTCTGATAATGAGTCAGACTTCACTACAAAAGCAGATGTGGCATTACAACCTGCAGGTGGGCTCTGTTACTAACTCCCATCCTTTTTTCTTTTTTTTTTTTTTTGGTTAACCTTCCCATTAATCAGTTTGTGTAAGCTTTCAGTCGTACAGGGATTAGTCAAAACAGAGGAAGGGAAAACCTGCTAACTGAAGTACACTTGATGGGTGAGCAACCTTCCTTTGTCCTATCAATCACTCAAACACTTTCACTCGTCCTTTGACCTCACACTCTTACGTCGCTCGGTCCCACTTTAGGGTAGAATCAAAATTAAAGAAATTGGTTTCCTGGAGCGCTAACTGAAATGTTGTGGTTTGATGCTGCTGTCAGGACCAGTGTGGCGGTGACTCAGGCTGTGTCCTGCTCTGTGCCAGTTATTGGACATGTGTGTGAGCGGCTTCAGCGCTAATCCAGGTGTCCAACAATCCAACTAAACAATGTTAGCTTTAGGTCAACGAGTTAGCTGCATATTTAAATGTTTGCTTTTAGATCGGGGCAATGGAGCTTACCGTGCACTGTCACTGCCTTGCCATGTCTACTGCCAACTCGCAAATATGTCTCCATTGGATTGTACAAGGATTTAGCTATGATCATGAAGTTAGAGGTGACTAAAGTGAACTGAACTAAGAAACCCTGTAATAAATGTATTTTGTGGTGACTTGTGAATCAGCCTCTGTCTTATCATGTGCATGTGCTCCGAGCTTAAGCAAATACTCTTTCCAGAATACCACAGAGATCCCTGATGACTTTACCGTGGGAGAAACATTACGCATTATTTCCTCTCAAAATTACTGACTCATTACTTTGTCAGCTACATGAATAATCAGACATCACACTTCCGGCTAAGTTTTATTAAGGAATTTTCTTTGGCTGTTGTAACAGTTGTAAGTAGTAAAAGTAAAACTAGGTAAAGGCTTTACCTATTTTTACTGTTACAACTTGTTTGTAAAAGAAATCTTTGACATTTCTTAAACTCTTGAATCTTCCATTTTATTTGCCATTTACAGACTGCAGGACTTCCTCAGTGTGAACCAAATTAGCAAAGAGGTAAATTTAGAAAAGATGTCTCAGAGGCCAAAAAAATACATGTGAAAACTATGAATAGAAAAACTTTCTCTCAGGTCTCTCTCTCTGGTGTCTGACCAGTCTCTCTCTTTCTGGTCTCTCTCTGGTGTCTGTCCAGGCTCTCTTTCTGGCCTCTCTCTGTCTGAAGAGGCTGATCTAAGGATGTGACTGAGGCCAAAAATACATGGACGAAAAAAAACCAGTCATTGAAGCAAACTTTTAGAGCCTGGAACCCGGATGACCTGGATGGTATCTGTTTGTGGTTTGGAACTTGGGTACCTCAGCTTTATAGAACGGAAACGGCAGAGTTCACTTCAAAAAGCAGGGATGTAGGTTCAGATCCCGACACTTCACAGCATGACTAATTTGAGCATCAGTCAAATAAATCTAGGCTAACGTCGAGTGAAGGATTTGAAGTTTGTGATGAGGCGGCCTCATGTTAGCCTGGCTCTGCCAGACCCTTGTAGTTCCGCCATGCTCCACCAGAGGCGTTTGGCTGAACCTCATGGGTCCAAGTCGAGCCCCGGCGATCCAAGATGGCGCCCTATTCAAATGAATGGTTGTGCTCAGTGGCGCTTTGTGACGGCATGGGGGCTGAAAGATTAGCGGAAGTTGCCTGAAACTCGCAAAGATCTATGGAAAACTCGCAAAGAACTTTGGGAAACTCGCAAAGATCTATGGGAAACTCGCCTGTATTTGGGCATCGTCTGGTCCTCCCGGTTCTGCGCAGTGGATGATCTCCCATAATGCGTTGCGCCAAACACGCGTGTGTGGGTCTCACACCGGGTCTCACGCACGTGCACAGAGGGGCTCGGCCGCGCTCTGACCAATCAGAGCAGTTCATCAGAGCGGGAGTTAGAGCGAGAGCCAGACGACCAGAGTTTGTGGCACTAAAGTGTGGATTTAAACAAAACGAAAGGATTTAAGAAGAAAAAAAGTTCAGGATGACAAGGGACACTAAAATCCCCACAAAATCCGACCTTTATGAAAGCTGTGGGTTCTCTGTCAGCTGAGGTTGAGCTGTTTTAATTTGCATTGAGTTCTATGGGGAAAATTTCTGGGTAGCCCGCGTGAATTTAGTCTGGTTCAGTCTGCTACCGCGAGAATCCCCTGAGCACATGGGTTATTCAGCTACAAGCTAGTAATACCCTATCCAGTTATTATAATAGATCCATGGTCCAAGTGTATCTGTCTGCGGCCTGCAGTACGGGAGGCGTGTCGAGTAGTAGGCGTGTCGGGTAGTGACGTCACTACCCGACACGCCTACTACACGACACGCCCATTCCACGTTTCTTAAAGGGGTATGAGCATGGATCTTGTCATTATTTATTGGGGGAAAATGGACATATTTTGTAAATATCAAAGTAGTAAATTTGCCTACAAAAGCTGCCATTACTTCAGACTACTTCAGACAATCAATAGGGATTTGAAGCGGCTCCGGACAAAAGTTAAGTTAAGAGTCAAATAATGTCAGTGCTTATGTCTAATGTGTAGATTCATTTATAAAAGAGGGCTATGGTTGGTGACTCAAATCCTGGCTGCCCTAAGTGCAGTCTGGTATGTTCTTGAGCAATGCACTTCACCCACATGTGTGGACATAGTGAGAGACTGCTTGGTGGTGGCCAATAGCACAGATTAGTAGCCTGGCATCCTCCAACCCAGCTGTGACACACTGTGTGGAATAAATGAATAAAGACTACAGTGTGTGGTTTTGAGAAACTTGTCAACACAGGATTGAAAAGCACATTACAAGTTAAAGCTATTATTACACCACCACCACCACCACACACTCCAACGCCCACGGTCTCACATTACTGATCATAAAGAGAACATGCCATAACATTTTTTGTGCTCCCTGCTTTGGCATTTTGGGACAAGCAGACATTCATAATTATTGTGTTTTGTCAAATATGTAGAAGAGAGAGATTAAACATCAAGAACATCTTATTGTTATCTGGCATTTTATGTACATGCTTTTTTATGAATTTGTGTTATGTGAATGGCTCTGAAATGTAGACACTGAATAAGTTCTACACAAAACAAATTGCAACCACATTTTTTTTTTAAAATTTTAATCTTGAGAGAAAGGCTTCAGAAGAGAGCGCTAATCTCCATCTTCAAATGCTTTCAGCTTCCCTTCTGCCTCCTCCGGTAAATGTCTCACCAGGGCAATCAGTTTAAACTCACTGTCCAAAAAGAACAATCACAGATTAGATGTTGCAGTAAACATTGAAATATTTCCATCAATATTTAAAATAATCTTACCATGGTTCATACTTTGGCCCCTTTTTGAATCTTCCAATTGCCTCTTGCTGAGGCAGGTGAAATGCCTCGGCCAGAGTATGAACTGTCACCTAGATAAGAGTGAAATGTGTTACATTCAACAACAACAATTCACAAAACCAAATGCAGCCCTAAAAGGTGTTGTGTCCTGTTTAATAAATTGTCAGTGACTTGCACTTATGACTTTATGGTCTCTGTACATCAACAATGTTGCAATGCAGACTTATTTTTAGTAGTGTACATCCAGGAAACATGTACCATGAGATGCTTATGTTTGAGGGGGATCAGTGTTTGTTTTATGCACACTTTCATTACAATAGTCCCTGTGCCAACCTGGAGGCGCTCGGGCCTACTAATGTAAAACAAACATGTTAATCATGCTATACTTACGGTACGAGCACAATCATGACGACGTCAATCCAGTCGTTCTGCTGTCTTGCTCTTGGGGTCTCCCTGATGACGGCAAACAAGAAGGAGACAACCTCATCCAGTTGCTCGTCCTCAAAGTAAAGGGTTGGCCTCTCCCTCCTGGATTCCCAAGTTGAAACAAGGCCCAGTTAAGATAGCCTGAAAAAGAATAGTTATATTAGAGGATGGAGATGGTCATTATTGATAGTAATAGCCATATTGACAGTATGACTAAAATGACAACAACAACCAAATTATTGAGAAAGTCTTTCACTTTGAAATCTTACTAAGTATATCTTCATGCTGATATGTTTACCTTCCCTAATTGAGCTGCTCCCCTTCATGCACTTGATCGTCAGCACACTCAAGTTGCTGCACCCACTGTGTTTCTTTTACCGCTTTCTAAAATTTAAAAATACATTTCTCACAAATAATTTTGAAATAACGGTTGTTAATAATTATGGAGTGGCTTTTCACTATCCTCCAGTAACTCACAATTGTTCTAGCATTCATTATTCCATAACATTATCATCAGTATCAACATTAAAATCATAACATGTGCACTTTATGTAATGTCTTATAATGTTGTCAGTCACTTACCAACTGTGTTTGCTGGACAATTTCTGTCATTTTTGCCTTGCACTGGTTGTTCATTGTCCAAGGGCGCTGCTGAAAAAGGATGCAAGTTGCTAATGTGTTCGTTCAAGGCCACTATGAATATCACTCAGTAATGATTGTGATGTCACATTTTTACATTTGTCTCTTCAGTAGGCTGTCTCTTCCTCTTCAGTCTGAAGATGGGTGAAAGACATCCATTGACTATTTGTTTTCCCTTTTTGGTGAAATGAGCAAACTGTCCTCCATGCCTGAAGAAACAAATTATAGAATCCAGAAAAGCAACTGAAACAACTTTTTTTTTGTCAAACAATTTCACCGGCTTTGGAATAAGCAACCAATAAAACATGTAATTGTCTGGTAGCAGTGTTGTTGAAGAAGATATATACAGATATATACACCACCATCTCCACAGTACTGGCATATGCCCTTTCATGGGTTTGCATGTGTGTGATGATCTGTACTTCTCCATGTTTAAAATGAGTTACACACATGAGCGTGTTCCTCTGCTTCTGCTCTGCAGCTCCATGTCCATCACTGACAATCGTAGGATGTAACTGAAAACAGACATAAACAGACATTTGTGCACTCTCAGAAACACAAATGTCTTGTAACATCATCCAATAACTACGGTCAGTGACTTCTGTAACTGCATAATTAATAACTAATTTTCCACTGTGCTTGGAAAACATGAAAAGGTTATGTTTTTCCTCTTTATTACCATTTTAACGATGTAAAATGACTTGGGCAATCATGCTAAGTGCCTAACGACTTGTTGATCGCACATAGTATGACTCTCAGAAGAAACCCATACGAATTGCTTTCTCTGCAATGTATTCGTAGATCCATGGTAGTAGTTCACTTCTTAAAAAACATTTCTAATCAGGGTGATGTGCATTTATTCATTAAAGGACAACTCACCCTCAAATCCACTTTTTTTTGCTGATAAACGGTATAAATGAGTGTCCAATAGTGTTGTCTACATATCCTGGTCATAATCTTGTCACTTTGGTGCAAATTAGTTGAAAGTTAGACTTTCTGCCTAAAACCGTCTGTGAGGCGCCATCTGCTGGCGACCTGTATTACTACATTTGAATTTTGAATCTGGCGCCAACACTGGCACAGAAGTTGGACCTGACGTCTGCAAGTTGGACCTGACGTCAGCAGCCCCCCGCCCAGAGCAATATAAACGGCCCAGTCTCGTTCACGCCCCCTTTAGTCCTCCAGGCTACGCCCATTTAGAGGAAGATTTGAACAGGAAATGTGAGTAACGTAAGCTCCGAGGAGCGGGGGTGAGAACCACTTTAATACACTGTAACTTGTGTGACGGACTAAAAATAAATAAAACACGTTGTTGGTTGTCACTTACTGTTTGCGCACGATCAGCCATGTCTTCTCTTCGAGTTTTCAACGGGTTTAAAATTTGTGTAGTAGGCGTGTCGGGTAGTGACGTCACTACCCGACACGCCTACTACACGACACGCCTCCGTACTGCAGGCCGCAGACAGACCCTTCTCCATGGGTCTGGTATCGACGTCATAGCGAACGCCTTCCCCAGATTATTTTTTAATCGACCAATCAGGATTGCCGGTGTTACGTGGGTTCTGCACTGCCTTCTCAAGCTTCTCTCATGCAGCAGCGAGAGGAATCCAAGATGGCGGACGTAAAGTCCGCGAATCTTTTTAAGAGTAAATACGATCGAATTAAGACACGGAGGTCACTTTTAATGCAATTTGATGCGAGATGTTGATATATGTGTGTTTTAAGAGTCAAATGTTCCTGTAAAGTTTGGTTGAAGCACTGGTTCAGTGTTCCTGTTTACAACACTATGCAGCAGGGTTGCCAGGTTTGGTGGTTCCCGCATATTTTTTTCCAAGAGACTTGTAGGTATTTAATAAAGAGAAAGACAATAAACACAATCATGATAGCCCAAGTTGATTATATTACGTTTTTAGCCAAAAAATCAGTGTTTTTTTTTTTTTTTTTTTGGTATTCTCGCGGATTTTGGGTTGGAAAATCTTGCCGGGATTTGGCAACCTATGGGAGCCGTGTGCTTCGATGTGAGTGGTTGAAAGCAGACTTCATTCAAGATAACGGACAAGTGGTCTATCCAATCACATACAAGGATTTTTTTACACGGCCCTGCCTTCTGAAATCCAACCACTATGGCTCAGTACCAGACTCATGTGTGAAGTGCAGCGAACTACATGGGTCTGGCGAGAGTCAGGCTAGTCTCATGTAGCTCTCTGAAGGAAGTCTTAAATGAATAGGTACTTTCATCTGATCCAAGATGGCTGCTGCTCCAGGTCACTGCTCCGAGGCAGTCCTCAATCCAATCTAAATTACCAGGATCTGACATAATCCACGGGAAATAATGAATCAGAGTTAATGAAGAAACAAGTAACAATCGGTAAAGTGGATTATTTTTGAAAAACCATTGGTCATTGGGACCCAAACTGTGAGTGAAGCAAAGGCCCTCAGGCCTGCTATACACATTGGTTGTGCTGCTGTGAACCCAGTCACAATATACCCAGATATTTGAATCTTGGAGAACACATCCCTGCACAACGTCAATGGCAACAAGAAAAGCAGCCGAGATGGATGAAATAAAGGCATCCTTAAAGTTTATGGCAGATGAGATCAGCAAAGTTGCTACTTCACAACAAAGCACCCTCATGGAGGAGATATGTGATCTAAGACAAATAGTAAATCAGAGAGACAAAAAGATTGAAGAAAGGATGGACGCACTGGAACAACAAACCTTGAGTAAAGATGTCATCATTACAGGATTAGAGACTAAGCACCGTAGCTGTGCAAGAGCAGCATCAGGAGCACAACAGGTTTTGCTGCATAAACTCATTGATCTGGATAAGCACAGTATAGCTGGCTGCTATGCAATTTTGAAACAAGGATCCCAAAATGAAGCCATCTGTAGTGGTACAGTTAATTTCACAGAAGCACAAAATTGAGCTACAGCAACAGACGGAGTCGACATAAACGAGCATTTAACAAAGAAAAACGCTGAAATAGCCAAATGGAGCCGCATACTCAGGAAGCAAGACAAAATACAAGCAACATGCACAAGGAATGGGAAAGTGTACATACGACCAAATGGAGACGACCAAAACAAGCCAACAATGAAAAGAAAACTACAAGTGATGGACTACTTCAGCAGGTATGTGGAAACCAAAGCTGAACTGTTTGGGCAAAATAGAAAAGAGAAAACAAAAAGTGTGCGATGTCATTGGAACATGCAACAAAAGTCCTCCACATGGCAGCACAAGAGTCTAACATGAACCGTGTAACTTCTCTCACAGAGGATACAGCTGTAGTGCTATGGACAAACATGTGAAGACACTGGGAAATCTAATGAAGGATATTTCCGATGGTCATGAACCTAAGAGCTATGATTTTGATAATGAAACTGACCCAGATACTCACTACTATAGCAACTTACAGTTGTAAATATTACACAGAAGAGAGTGCGGTCATGCACGGTGCTCTGTCAGTCAAACACTTCAATAGCAGAAGTCTATACAAAAATGTCTCCGCTATAAAAGATTTCTTGAAGTCCTTTGAAAGATTGACTATAATAGCCATATCAGAGACTTGGCTTGATGATGGGAAAGTGAATGACGTGGGCCTTGAGGGAAATGATTTGTATACCATCAATGGGAGCAACTAAAAGGGGGGAGGAGTTGCTTTGTACATAAGATATATGTCACATTTGGCATGGATAGAGACACTCAGATTGTGCAAAAGAAAAATGTGCAAACTTGTTACATGTAGGATAATTATGTACAACAAAAGTGTCAATTGGAAACAGTGTCAATAGTAGTGCAGGTTTTCACACAGTGATCATTTAAAGTGACTTATTGTACAGTCTGACAGCGGTGGGGATAAAGGCCCTGCGGTAGCGCTCCTTCCTACACTGAGGGTGCCTCAGTCTTCCACTGAAGGAGCTCCTCAGCTCCTCTACAGTCCTGTGCAGTGGGAGGTATTGTTCATGATGGAGGTGGCTTTGGCTAGCACCCTCCTGTCCCTCACCTCCTCCACAGAGTCCAGGGAGCAGCCCAGAGTGGAGCTGGCCCTCCTGACCAGCTTGTTCAGTCTGTTTCTGTCCCGCTCTGTGCTGCCCGGGGCCCAGCACACGGCAGCGTAGTATATGGCTGAGGCTACCACAGAGTCATAAAAAGTCCTGAGCAGAGGCCTGCTCACTCTGAAGGACCTCAGCCTCCTCAAAAGGAAGAGGCGACTTTGGCCCTTCTTGTACAGGGCGTTGGTGTTATGGACCAGTCCAGTTTATTGTTAATGTGAACACCCAGGTACTTGAAGCTGTCCACCAGCTCAATGTCCTTCCCCTGGATGTTCAGCAGCGTGTGGGAAAGTGGTTTTCTCCTGAAGTCGATGACCAGCTCCTTGGTCTTACTGGTGTTCGAGCACAAGTGGTTGCGCTCACACCAGTCAACAAAGTCCTTGATAACCGACTGATATTCCAGTTCGATCCCCTCAGACACACAGCCCACGATGGCGGAGTCGTCGGAGAACTTCTGCAGGTGACAGCTGTGTGTGTCGTATGTGAAGTCTGAAGTGTAGATGGTGAAGAGAAACGGTGAGAGGACAGTGCCCTGAGGGGCCCCAGTGCTGCAGACTACCACCTCAGACTCACAGCTGCGCAGCCGCACGTACTGTGGTCGCTCTGAGAGGTAGTTGATGGTCCATGCAGTGAGGCTACTGTCCACTCCCGCGTCCTCCATCTTCCCCTGCAGCAGTGCTGGTCTGATGGTGTTGAAAGCGCTGGAGGAGTCAAAAAACATGACCCTCACAGCGCCCCCTGCAGGCTCCAGGTGGGAGAACTGTAGGCGAACTGCAGCGGGTCCATGGTGGGGCTGACCACAGAGCGGAGATGGGTGAGGATGAGCCGCTCCATGGTCTTCATCAGGTGGGAGGTCAGTGCGACTGGTCTGTAGTGAGCCGGTTCCTTGGCGTGCGCTGTTTTAGGAACCGGGATCCCACAGGAGGTCTTCCACAGGACAGGGACCTTCTCTAGGCTGAGGCTCAGGTTGTACATGTAGCTGAGGACCCCAGAGAGCTGGTCTGCACAGGTCCTCAGCAGCCTGGGACTGATCCCGTCCGGTCCTGCGGATTTCCAGGATTTAAAAAGTAAAATTGTTTAAAAAAATTCATACATCATTGACAATATCCTGGAATGTATAACAGTGGAAATTGAAGTGGAACATCTGAGCAACATAATCATTAGCTGTGTGTTCAGACCACCGGGTACATGTTTGTCCACATTTAATGAAAATTGGCTCATTGGCTACATATCATGACCACTGAGAAAATACAAATAATTTGTGGGGACTTTAACATTAATATACTTCACCAAAGTGTCACTCAAGGCACTTCTGACTTTATGAATATTATGTACAGCAATCATTTATGCCCAGTAATTGATAAGCCAAGTAGAATTACAACAAAAACGGCAACATTAATTGACAACCTTTTTACCAACAGAATTGAGGGAAAAGTTGTTGGGGGTTTGTTCATCAGGGATCTTAGTGATCATTTGTCAGTGTTCGCAATATTTAAAAAAAAAATTCAAACAGGAAAATAAACCTCAGACCATTAGCAAATACATGAGAAACCGCACGGAAAAAAATACAGAAGAATTCAAATACAAGCTTAGTAATCAAAATGTGTATGATGTCTACACAGGTACAGATGCAAACATGTGTACGATGCTTTCCTGAACAGATTTACAGATCTGTTTAATATTATATGTCCCATGAAGAAGATCCAAAACCAAGAGAAATCTTCCGAACAAACCATGGATTACCAAAGGCCTAGAAAAGTCCTGCAAAAAGAAAAATATATTTTATAAAAAAAATTGTACAAAACAGGACTATTGAGTCAGAAGAAAAATACAAAAAGTATAACAATAAATTGTCTAGCATTATCAGAAACAGTAAAACTCAATATTTTCACACTCTCCTAGAGCAGCGAAAGCAAAATATGCAAGGAACCTGTAAAGTATTAAACAAACTTATCAAAAAAACAATAAACAAGAGTGCACAAGCTACTACTAAAACCACAATGAAGTTCTCACTAGAAATCCAACGGAGGTAGCGAACGAATTTGATGACTATTTTATTAATGTTGGCTCCACTCCGGCAAAGGGAATTACCAGCATGAGGAGCACATGGAGAGTTGTGACTGTATCAGTAGGAACATGTCTTCAATGTATGTTTCTGGCATTACCAAAAATGAAATACTGGATATTGTGAATGGTTTTAAGAACAAAAGGTCATCCGATTGAACAGATATGGATATGAAACTAGTTAAAAATATAATCCATCTAATATTAGAGCCTCTGGTTTATATCTTCAACTTGTCTCTTGAATCTGGCATTTTTCCAGATCAAATGAAAGTTGCGAAAATCATCCCAATCTATAAATGTGGTGACAGTCATTTGTATTCAAATTACAGGCCAATCTCTATACTAAGTCGATTCTCAAAAATCTTGAAAAAACCTTTTTTGAAGAGGCTTGATACTTTCATAGAGAAAAGCATGATATTAAATGAGGATCAATATGGATTCAGGAGCGGTCGCTCTACTTCAATGGCAGTTATTAAACTAGTCGATTTATGTAGCATCTGCATTAGACAAAAAGCATTTTACTGTAGGTGTTTTTGTTGACCTCAAGAAAGATTTTGATAAAATAGATCATAAACTGTTAATGAACGAGCTAGAAAAGTATGGTTTTAGAGGACGTTCTTACTCTTGGCTTGAAAGCTATCTTGACAACAGATCCCAGTATGTATATTATAACAATCATCAGTCAGAAATGCGTAAAGTAACGTGTGGAGTACCCCAGGGTTCTCTGATTGGTCCTAAGTTGTTTATCTTATACATCAATGATATTTGCAAGGTGTCTGACTTGTTGAAATGTGTCTTATTCGCAGATGATACCACACTGTACGCCTCGGGAGATAATCTACAACAACTCGTTACTCATGTGGCCAGAGAAATATATATATGGTTTGACCAAAACAATTTATCCTTCAATCTAAGTAAAACCAAATATATTATTTTCAGTAATCGTCCAATTAAAACCAACATAAGCCTAAAGATTGATGATGTGGTATTAGAGAGGGTGAATGAAAACACATTTCTTGGAATTATACTCTATCACAAATTGTCCTGGAAGCCACACATTGCTCATGTTTTTTTCTAACTCCACCCTCGCTGTACATTCTGTATTGTTCTCTGGTTGTTTCATACATGTCCTAAATATGGGGGCATCCCTGCACCACAAATACAAAACCTGTTTTTATTTTACAGAAAAAAGCCATTCGAATAGTCAATCACTCACCGTATAACGAACCGACAAACGCAATATTTTGCAAATATAAAGCGATACAATTTTATGACTTGTCACTCTGAATACTGCAATCTTCATGTACAGAGTAAATAAGAAAATACTGCCTCAAAATATACTCTGTATGTTTGAAAACAGGGAAGAGATATATATATATAACCTGAGGAGAAAACGTATTTAAAATCAGATGGTCAAAACCAACTTTAAAATGAACACCAACACTCGGTCAAAGGGTCGACTTGTGGAACGGTCTCAGTCATGATCTCAAGAGGAGTAATTCCATTCATTATTTAAAAGAAGAATTTTTGATAAATATGTTTTTGTAAGTTATGTTTAAGTCTACTGATGTGCACATACAAGAAATTGCTAAACTGAATAAGACAAACACTAAGTTATATTCATAACAATAACCAAAAATTATGCAAATAAATGGGTATATATACCTCGCCCCGGTCCTCGCCCCGGTCCTCACCCCGGTCCTCTCCCCGGTCCTCTCCCCGGTCCTCTCCCCGGTCCTCTCCCCGGTCCTCGCCCCGGTCCTCGCCCCGGTCCTCGCCCCGGTCCTCTCCCCGGTCCTCGCCCCAGTCCTCGCCCCGGTCCTCTCCCCGGTCCTCTCCCCGGTCCTCTCCCCGGTCCTCGCCCCGGTCCTCGCCCCGGTCCTTGCCCCAGTCCTCGCCCCAGTCCTCGCCCCGGTCCTCGCCCCAGTCCTCGCCTGCCGATCATTCTGCTGGCAGCTGTGGACTCATGTATGTTTAAAACATACCATTCATACAGAGTAAGGGAAATATCAGATCAGAGACGTAAAGCTGGGATACCAAACTTTGGAGCCGGAAAAAATAATTTTATAATCACTCGATGCCCCTTGGTTCTCAGAACAGTTTAGTTTCGACATCCATGTATTTTATGGCCTCTGTCACGCCTTTAGACCAGAGAGAGACTAAAAAGAGAGATACTAAAAAGATTAAGGAGCAGAAAACCAACGCACGCAGGAGATACAGTGCCTTGCGAAAGTATTCGGCCCCCTTGAACCTTTCAACATTTCGCCACATTACAGGCTTCAAACATAAAGATATAAAAAAAAATTTTTTTGTCAAGAATCAACAACAAGTGGGACACAATCGTGAAGTGGAACGAAATTTATTGGATAATTTAAACTTTTTTTAACAAATAAAACTTGAAAAATGGGGCGTGCAATATTATTCGGCCCCCTTGCGCTAATACTTTGTAGCGCCACCTTTTGCTGCAATTACAGCTGCAAGTCGCTTGGGGTATGTCTCTATCAGTTTTGCACATCGAGAGACTGGAATTCTTGCCCATTCTTCCTTGCAAAACAGCTGGAGCTCAGTGAGATTGGATGGAGAGCGTTTGTGAACAGCAGTCTTCAGCTCTTTCCACAGATTCTCGATTGGATTCAGGTCTGGACTTTGACTTGGCCATTCTAACACCTGGATACGTCTATTTGTGAACCATTCCATTGTAGATTTGGCTTTATGTTTTGGATCATTGTCCTGTTGGCAGATAAATCTCCGTCCCAGTCTCAGGTCTTTTGCAGACTCCAACAGGTTTTCTTCCAGAATGGTCCTGTATTTGGCTCCATCCATCTTCCCATCAATTTTAGCCATCTTCCCTGTCCCTGCTGAAGAAAAGCAGGCCCAAAGCATGATGCTGCCACCACCATGTTTGACAGTGGGGATGGTGTGTTCAGGGTGATGAGCTGTGTTGCTTTTACGCCAAACATATCGTTTTGCATTGTGGCCAAAAAGTTCGATTTTGGTTTCATCTGACCAGAGCACCTTCTTCCACATGTTTGGTGTGTCTCCCAGGTGGCTTGTGGCAAACTTTAAACAAGACTTTTTTATGGATATCTTTGAGAAATGGCACTCGTCCATAAAGGCCAGATTTGTGCAGTGCACGACTGATTGTTGTCCTATGGACAGACTCTCCCACCTCAGCTGTAGTTATCTGCAGTTCATCCAGAGTGATCATGGGCCTCTTGGCTGCATCTCTGATCAGTCTTCTCCTTGTTTGAGATGAAAGTTTGGAGGGACGGCCGGGTCTTGGTAGATTTGCAGTGGTCTGATACTCCTTCCATTTCAATATAATTGCTTGCACAGTGCTCCTTGAGATGTTTAAAGCTTGGGAAATCTTTTTGTATCCAAATCCGGCTTTAAACTTCTCCACAACAGTATCTCGGACCTGCCTGGTGTGTTCCTTTGTCTTCATGGTTCTCTCTGCGCTTTAAACAGAACCATGAGACTATCAAAGAGCAGGTGCATTTATACGGAGACTTGATTACACACAGGTGCATTCTATTTAGCATCAATCATGTCACGATTGTGTCCCACTTGTTGTTGATTCATGACAAAAAAAATATTTTTTATATCTTTATGACTGAAGCCTGAAATGTGGCGAAAGGTTCAAGGGGGCCGAATACTTTCGCAAGGCACTGTAAATAGGGTCACTGCATTCCAGCCTCGGTGCATTATCAGGGATTTCTCATATTTTCACCGATTTGAATGGGAGCAGGGAGTCGCTCTCGCTCTCTCTCTCTCTCAGAACGCTCTCTTAACCACCCCTATATCTTCTGCTTGACTGGACTCCTCTTCCACACAAGCCGAGACCTTTGACCAGCTGATGCCCGGAGCCTCAGGGGCCACACACCAGGGCCATGCTCCTCCCTCTGACCTCCTCACATCCACGCACTGGGCAGTCAGGCAGAAGAGGCGCATCTCCTCTGGGATCTGCAGGAGATACAACATCTGAGCTCACTTCACAGCTCTAGGCCCACAAGGAGCTCCGGGACCACGAGGAGCTCCAGGACCACGAGGAACTTGGGGACCACGAGGAGGGCCCACTGTGAGCTCCAGGCACACGGGGACCTCCAGGAACCAGGGAAGGGACCAGGGAAGTTGAAGTCTTCAACTTCCCTGTTGAAGAAGGGAATTCCAATTGAATTGAAAGATACTGAGACGGTGGTCATGGTCGTCCTCTTGAAGCATGTGGACTGGGCGGTTCTGGTTGGACTCGTGTGGACTGTCCCTCACGGGGACAGCTACATGAAACAGATGAAAGGTGTTGGAGGATGACGCCACTGTTGCCAAGTCTCAGAGGAGGAGCTTTACTGCAGTGTCCAGAGATGTGCTGACCCCGGGAGTTGGTTTTACTTTGACCGCTACGAGGTGAGCTTTTGCTTCTGGAATACTTTGTTTGAGACGTTGTAATAAAATCTAAAGGAGGAAATGTAAATAAGGATCTGAAGGTGTAAATTCTTGCACATGACACTGATGCCATTTCTGGAATGAGTTCAGCACAAATATTACTTTCAGACAAAGACGGTTTTGTAGATTAAGACAATATCTTTGATACAGATTAGACACTAAAATGGAGATAATAGGAAGCCTTTACTTTACCTTTGTAGTGACTGAAATAATTATTTTGTAAATGTACCTAAGTTGCTTGTGATTAATTTTCTATTTATTTCAATGCCCACTAAAAATAAATCAATGTATAAAATAATAGTAATAGTGTAAAAGTGTAGCAGTACAGGCACAGTGTGTCTTCAGGCCCAGGTGGAGGGTCTTTGTCCCAGCAGTGTGCCTGGTCCTCCTTTGAAATCACTTGTCGTTCTTACATTCATATGATAATGAGAACATGGTGGACCTGAGGCAGATCTCAGACTGGAGGTTCTTATTCATGTCCCAAGATTCTGTTTGTACTCGCTATTCATTCATCTTTATGGGTTTCATTTCCGATCAGAATTTTTCGTTCATCCAAAGAAGCCAGTTCAGTTTGCTCCTGGACTCAGAACCTCGGATGAAGTCTCTGGGGAGGGGGAAGTCTGGGCACCTCTGTCTGGGCCGCTGCCCCTGCACCCGACAACCAATACAGCAGAGAAGAAACTGAAGGATGAAGTATAATATATCGCAACGCTGACTTGGCAAGACAATACTGATCTGTGTCTGTTCTTGAGCATCCCCCTCCCCGCCTAGGATTCTCTTTGGTCCTGGATCTACAGCCTCAGTCTTGGATCTACAGCCTCAGTCCTGGATCTACAGCCTCAGTCTTGGATCTACAGCCTCAGTCCTGGATCTACAGCGTCAGTCCTGGATCTACAGCGTCAGTCCTGGATCTACAACCTCAGTCCTGGATCTACAACCTCAGTCCTGGGTCTACAGCCTCAGTCCTGGGTCTACAGCCTCAGTCCTGGATCTACAGCCTCAGTCCTGGGTCTACAGCCTCAGTCCTGGGTCTACTGCCTCAGTCCTGGGTCTACAGCCTCAGTCCTGGGCCTACAGCCTCAGTCCTGGGTCTACAGCCTCAGTCCTGGGTCTACAGCCTCAGTCCTGGGTCTACAGCCTCAGTCCTGGGTCTACAGCCTCAGTCCTGGGTCTACAGCCTCAGTCGTGCATCTACAGCCTCAGTCCTGGATCTACAGCCTCAGTCCTGGGTCTACAGCCTCAGTCCTGGGTCTACTGCCTCAGTCCTGGGTCTACAGCCTCAGTCCTGGGTCTACAGCCTCAGTCCTGGGTCTACAGCCTCAGTCCTGGGTCTACAGCCTCAGTCCTGGATCTACAGCCTCAGTCCTGGATCTACAGCCTCAGTCCTGGATCTACAGCCTCAGTCGTGCATCTACAGCCTCAGTCCTGGATCTACAGCCTAAAATGCAACAGCCCTTCAGGTGCAGTAAAATGCTAAATGCTTTGTTAGACATTTTCAAAAAGTTCGCATTCCTCCAGGGGAATTTTCACCTGATCCTCTTGGTTTGGACCATGAATCCTCTCTGCTCTGGTTTGGACCAGTGTAACACCATGAACACTGTGCTGCAGCAACAAGAAATCACAAAAACAATTGTAAAGCACAAAGTTGTTTCGGAGATAATTAGGACTTGCTGCTGTTTCCAGCGCATTCAAAAGTAAACGTACAATGTAAATGTGCAACTCCTTAGAGAAAAAAACAGAATGCAGAATGGGAATATTTGTGTTTGGCATTTCAAGTCCTGGAAGTCTTTCTAACTCCCTTACTCTTACGCAATCATGTTTACATTGATTGACTTCTAGCACACGCCTTTTTGTAATAATTTACAGTTCCATTCTTCCCTGAGCCACAGCCTCTCAGCTCCGCTTCCGCCCGACACACGACTTTATCCTTGTTTGCTCTCTTGCGTCTCGCTCTCTTTGTGTCTTGCTCGCGCCCCTCGTATCATAATGGCCCTGTTTCCTCGGAGCAGAGCTAATCTATTCTTCTGATATTTCATCTTTAAACACACGAATCGCTAAGGGAGGGTTTAGAGGCCTCCGTGGGCACAGGCCGATCCTTATCCCGGTAAATGATGTGCTCCCGTTCCTCTGTCCTTGAAGAAGAGGCCGTCCTCCAAATTGGAAATCCATATTTTGCAAAAGCACCGAGCGGAGAGGGGCTTAAAGACCGGGGTTTTGGCCGATTACAATGAATTAAGACAAACAAGGAGAAGGATTCCAAAACCCTCAGGCCTCACCTTTTCCCTTCGTCTAGTTCCACTTAAGTGTGAAGGTCGGAATGCAGACAGAAGTTCATGGATATTAGAAATATTCATATCACACTAGATTTGAAATTGGAAAACATTCAATTCCATTTAAGTCACTTTTGTACAGCTCTAAATCAAAACATCAGTTGTCTTTGGAACTTTGCAAAGTTGGCGACTCACCAACAACAGGAGGATCAAACGGCTCAAACTCAGGAAATTGAATAATAGTAAGTGAGGGAGTAATAATAATAACATTAATCATAACAAACGTCATTGGTCTTCGGGATGACCACTTTCCAGAAATGTTCATAAATGTCCTCTAAAGTCCTCATCGCTGTCCTGAGACCCTCCTGCAGAATGATGCAGGACGTGCTTTAGCTGCACTGTACTTGACATATTTAGTATTAATATAAAGTGCATTTACACGTAAACGCAGTGAATAGTGTCGAGATTATGTTTTTATGTGGATCTCCCAGTTCGCTCGAGGGAGAGAGACAAACCAACAAAAGGCTTCATACGTTTTTATTTCAAACTGGGACTGGCCTCCTGCGGGGACTCTGAGGAGCACAGGGACTGGCCTCCTGCTGGGACTCTGAAGAGCACAGGGACTGGCCTCCTATGGGGACTCTGAGGAGCACAGGGACTGGCCTCCTGCTGGGACTATGAGGAGCACAGGGACTGGCCTCCCTGCTGGGACTATGAGGAGCACAGGGACTGGCCTCCTGCTAGGACTCTGAGGAGCACAGGCACTGGCCTCCTGCTGGGACTCTGAGGAGCACAGGGACTGGCCTCCTGCTGGGACTCTGAAGAGCACAGGGACTGGCCTCCTGCTGGGACTCTGAGGAGCACAGAGACTGGCCTCCTGCTGGGACTCTGAGGAGCACAGGGACTGGCCTCCTGCTGGGACTCTGAGGAGCACAGGGACTGGCCTCCTGCGGGGACTCTGAGGAGCACAGAGACTGGCCTCCTGCTGGGACTCTGAGGAGCACAGGGACTGGCCTCCTGCTGGGACTATGAGGAGCACAGGGACTGGCCTCCTGCTGGGACTCTGAGGAGCACAGGGACTGGCCTCCTGCGGGGACTCTGAGGAGCACAGGGACTGGCCTCCTGCTGCGACTCTGAAGAGCACAGGGACTGGCCTCCTACGGGGACTCTGAGGAGCACAGGGACTGGCCTCTGCTGGGACTATGAGGAGCACAGGGACTGGCCTCGCTGCTGGGACTATGAGGAGCACAGGGACTGGCCTCCTGCTGGGACTATGAGGAGCACAGGGACTGGCCTCCTGCTGGGACTCTGAGGAGCACAGGGACTGGCCTCCTGCTGGGACTCTGAGGAGCACAGGGACTGGCCTCCTGCTGGGACTCTGAAGAGCACAGGGACTGGCCTCCTGCGGGGACTCTGAGGAGCACAGGGACTGGCCTCCTGCTGGGACTCTGAAGAGCACAGGGACTGGACTCTGGCCTCCTGGGCCGGGGACTAGGAGGGACTCTGCTGGGACTCGAGAGCACAGGGACTGGCCTCCTGCTGGGACTCTGAGGAGCACAGGGACTGGCCTCCTGCTGGGACTCTGAAGAGCAGTTGGTTTTACTGAGTGACGTTCACATTCAGACGACATAATACTTATAGTTTAGTGTATCCACCGAATGGGAGGTTCCTTATCACAGTCAGCGATAAGAAAAGGTTTTTAACTTATCTTTTTACAGTGTTTGATGTATTCATGGGGCCTTGAAGATGGCCCCTGTGGTCTCCTGCTGTGATATACTGATATTACACTTTCAGAGTGTGAGACGTTGGGATTTAACCACAAAGAGCTGCTGCTTCATATTCTGGCTGTGTGCGATGATCAGTTACTAAAACACTCAGAGGAGGAGCACAGAGATGGTTTCAGAGATATTCGTGCAACGGATGTCTCTGAATAGTGTTTGTTGTGTGTCTGTGTTGTGTCCAAAGTCAGTAGAGAGTGAAGCGGAACGGCGCCAGGATGGGGCCCGAAGACCCTGGTTCTCAAAAATTGTGAAGTAGTCCGGGATCCACTCAGACAAATCCACTCCGGCTTGTCCCTGAGACGCTGTGGCTGGATGGGGATGAAAGCGTTGGAGTATTGTGTGTATTGTTCTATGAACAGAGCCAACTTTGTAACACACACTCCGTCACTCAGACTTATAAGCTCACAAAGTTGATTAGTATGTTCAGTCTGCTCTAACTATGTTCCAAAAACAGCCCTGACATTTCTGCACATCTATGACACTTGTGGACAGTGGTCCCTGTGGACTAATGTGTTTGTTGTTATTCTTCTGTTATTTAGGAATCCACAACTTTGTAAAGTCCTCTGAGACTGCTGTTGATTTTGGGGCGATACACAAATACTAATTTAATTATCTTTTTGAGCCATAGTGGCAGAGTGGTTAGCCACTCCTTGGTAAGATGGTCCTGGGTTTTTGTATCCCTGTCAGAACACAGCTTCTCTGAGTGGAGTT